AGAGAGAGAGAGAGAGAGAGAGAGAGAGAGAGAGAGAGAGAGAGAGAAAGAGAGAAATAAATGAGTTAACAATCCAAAACCAAATCATTAAAAAAAACGTTGCCAACCAATAAAGATTCCATTAAATAAAGGCATGATTGAATTAATAAAAACATGCAATAATAATATGCTATAATGCTACATACTGTCTGTACTTTTCATCGGATGATTTTTCGCGCAACGGAATACCGGATAAGAATAGGATAATCAGTGTTGTGAACAATGGCGAAATGATGCCAATCCATTCAATTCCACGAATGACATTGATTGAAATGACGAAAATGCCCCACCAAATTAGAATTTCGCCAAAATAGTTTGGATGTCGCGACATACTCCATAGCCCTATCACGAGCACACCGACAAATTAAATGAAAAAAAAAACACAAATCGATGAAAACGGGTGTCATTAATTCTGGGTATATTCCTTTGGACAATGGTTTATTTTTTGGAAACCATCCAAAAGGCTGTCTATGAAAATGAAATGAAGTGAAAAGAAAACTCACCATCATTACAAAATTTGCCTTGATTCACTGGATCTTGACGAAATGCGAATTTCTGCAAATCAGCATACGTTTCAATTAGTAGGCCTACAGCGTACATACCCGTGCCAATTGAGTCAATTGTGGTCATAGTACGCGGTGCTTTGTTGTATTGTGCGTGACGTGGTGAATTAATTAGAATAACCGGAAGTGAAACAACGTAAACCCATAACGCCTGCAAGAAATGTTATATATGGTTGGTGTCTTTTACTCTTATTTTCTTTTCATTCAAAGACGAAAGAGAGAGTGTCCATTGTAAACATATTTTCTACAAAAAAGCTAAATAAAATTTGCATATTATTAGCGTTGCCGCCACTGGCACCAGAGAAAAAAACACACTGGAAAACCCAAACAGTTTACTATTGTTGCTTTTCCTCTGGTGATGTGTGGCGTACGGCCAGTTAATAGTTCACATACCTGAAACGTCCAAAATATGGCGAAACGAATAATGTTTCGTTTTTTATCCTCAAACTCTTTATCGCGCCCAATTTTAAACACACGGTACAGTAGATAGCTGGACAAACGTGCACCCCACAAACACACAAACATAGTTACCATCAATTGACGACTATCGTACGCCTGAAGAAATCAAAATACCAAGAGCAGAAAAAAAAACAAACGGAATTTGAATTTTATGCTTTTGCATTTTTCGGAACATGGTTTTTTTTCTCCCTACCTCTCTCTCTCTCTCTTTACACCAAAACAGATTGAGGGAGAGCGAGAAGGAGAGAGAGAAAGAGAGAAATATTATATTGATAATTTTCAAATGTTACCTTAGACGGCCGATCGATTTGGCCGAGAAAGAATGTTAACAATGCAATTATTATAAAATTTGCACCACCCGCGAAATCCGTTAATTTGTCCAATTGAAATGCAGCGGCAATGATGAAGAAAATAATTTGCATTCCCACTGTAACAATACCACTGATTGCCAGATGATCTTCGTCCAGAATTTTAACAGCCATTTTAAATATTGCTGCGTGTTATTGTTATTGCTGTTGTTTGGACAATTCACGTGACAATGAATGTTGGTTTCGCGACTACACAAACGAATTTTTTTCTTCTTTTGTTTTATCTCGTTGCGGGCACAGCAGCCTTTCAAAGCTCAATCGCTTCGTTCGCTCAATTTCAGTATTGCGGTCGCAGCTTTCGTTGTGATTTCAAATCAAATGAAGGACGAAAATCAAAACACTCGATACTTTGTGTGCTAGACGTTCATTTGAACTAAATTGTACTGTAGGCTTTTGTTTTTCACTTATTCTAGATTCTTGTACTATGTTTTGTTTGTTTGTTTGTTCATGTGAAAGATATATAGTTGGTTTCAATCACATAGTCATCGATTTACAAAAAAAAAATAAACTAACAAAAGAAAAATAACTCGTTCAATTCGTAGAATTGCCTACAAAAGCAGCATTGGTAACATTATACAAATCGATAGGAAAATTGTATGGTTTTTCTCATTTTCAGTGGTGCTGATTAGTTTTCCTTTTTCTTCTTCTACTTTTTATACGGAATAGTTGGGATTGGTACACTTCACGTTTCGTGATTTGGTTTTTTTTTCAGCTTTCACCCAAATGGAATTTGAATTAAAACCTTATTTATTAATTTTTGTTTTATTTGAACACAATTTGTGCAAAATCTAGTGCAAAATAGACGAAATGTACTGCTGTTTGAACTGTTAGACACATTTTAAGCTGATTACGTGTATTAATCCGTGTGTTTTTAATAAGTCTATCGAGTCTTTTTTTTATCCCATTCGATTATGTTGAAAAACAACACAACTATTGTTATACAAATGATGGAAAGTAATAAATATTGGGGAAAAAAATAATTTTTATTGAATGTGTTGTATATCACGAATGAATGCTGCTGCTGCTGCTGCTGCTCCTGACTAGAGTAGCGCAATGTTGTTGAGATGCTTTTACTTTTGTGTGGGAAAATGTCAGTGGTTTTTCATGTTTTTTTTTTCGTTCTATTCCTCGTTTTTCCCAATTCCATCCATAAACGCAGTAAAACACTCTTGAATATATGAATGCATGTTACAGCATAAATTCCATGCTATGTAGTGAACACTATCGCTCTTTCTCCCTCTCACATTGCCTCTCTCACTCAAGTGGAAAACTCTACTCAAATTAGCAAACACACACACACATACGTCCAATGAAAAGCGCTCAACCGATTTCCACTCATTTTAAATTGAGCCGTTGCTCCTATTACGCTCACTTGATCCAGTCCATGTCTAATTAGATTGTTGAACAGAATCACGTTATTTTTCCATCAAAATATTGTCATAAATTTCGACTCTTCACCTATTCGGTTACATCATAAATACGAAATTAATCATATTTTTGTGTACAAAATTCAAAGTATAGTTTTGTTGCCAAAGATCCAAAGACAATCACAGACGATAGTTTGACAATGTCATATGTCAAAACGAACAGTCACAACCAATACCAGTGGAATAATATTGCTGCTGTACACAGAGAGCAGAAACGGTTTAATTTGTATTAAAAACTAATAGATATGCGGACGGAGTTGTGAACAGCAATCATGGCATCAGTTTTAATTCGTGGAATTACCAGAGGTTGTCATCTTCGTCCGATCGCTCTGCAAAAATACTATTCCGCTAAGTATGAATTGAAAGACCTAACCTAACATTATCTTCCTTACATATCATTCAATGCTGATAATTGAGTTAATCAAAATATTTACATTTTACATGTACGAAGGCCATCACCAAAACCATCATCGTCAACGGACGATGGATCATCAAAGCAATCGTCACCCAATGTCGACAAGCCAAAAGCAAGTATTGATGAAAAACCGAAAGAGGTTTCATCATTGGGCCGAACCGAACAACGATTAGCCGATCTAAAATCGAAAATTGGAGAATCTCAGAAAAAAGCTGAACATGTTCGTGATAACATTCGGGGATATGCGCTGGATCGCTTTATAAATTATGTGAAAAACTATGATAAAATATTGGAGAAAAAGTTTCCAGGTGCGATGAAAGTGTATCGTGTATTCATGGATGGTGTGAAATTTTTTGGCCGTGATATGGTTCAATATGTGAAAATTCGTAGCCAAATGTTGATACACGACAAAGCCGTTTCATCGATGACACGAAAAGAGCTTGAACTCTATTATCAAATGCCACACGATATCCGCAAAGTCGGTCCAATCATTCTCATATCAGCCATACCGTTCGCCCACTATGTGACGATGCCAATTGCGTAAGCAATCCTCATCTCATTTAATTCAATTGCAAGTAATTTATATTCCGTCTCTATTTCGTGTGTCATTTACAGATATATGTATCCACGTTATTTTTTAACACATCATTTCTGGACGCTGCAACAACGCAGCGAATTTGCTGTGATGAATTTACGTGATCGTCTGTCACACAATCGCCCCATTTTTCGATCGCTACAAAGTAAATTGTCCTCACTGCAGAATGACCGACACTACGATCAATGGAGCGAAATACTGGGTAAATTGGGCAGTGGTGTGCATCCAACCGTTGATGAGATACTCAGCGTTAGAGATCTTTTTAGCGAAGCCCCATATAAAACGACTTCATTGAGCTATGCACATGTTGTAAGTGAATCTTTTATTTTATCTCTGTCTCGATTGGAATTTTTGTTTCAGAATCACTTTATTGATGCTCTTGCTTTTTTTTTCTTCTTTTTTTCTCTATATCGGATTCGTATGACAATGATTTGAAAACAGAAACATTTGGCCGGTTTGCATGGAATCAAAGGGATAATCACAATCAAATCAAATCTAGCCTATCGAGCGATGTGCGTGCATAATATTGATATGGCAATCCAACGAGAAGGCGGCACACGAAATTTACCTTTAGAAACGCTACGGGACTCATGTTTCACGCGCGGTTTGAATGCATCAAATCTGACAAATGATGAACAAATCCAATTCCTTGATGATTGGCTTGAAGTATCAAAGCATATTAATGCCCAAAATTTCAGTCTGTTTTTACATTTACCCATTCTTCTGACCTACAATCATCCTAACAACTGGAAACTAATCTATCGAGAGCGATAGCATCAGTGATTTTACACCATGTGACCATTTATAGAACCAAAGTGACTATACTATAATTGAAAAAAATAACTTGTTCCATTTTATTTAAAATTAAAATAAAATACACTGCTTCTTCTTTCATTTTTTTTCCATTGTTAAATAACGGTCTCTTTATTATATCATTTCTTTTTACATTTTTTTATTTTTTTCCTTCAAGTTTTTAATTTTTTTCGACTTTCAATTTGGATACCCAAAGAGTATCAACTTAACAAAACTTACCCGATTGGAATAAATGATGGCAATGATCCGACTATTGGTTTTCGAACAACATGAATTTTTTCAACATTTTTCTCAGGCGATGTGTTTTGGTTTGCACTTTCTGAGCTTGTGCTCGTTTCACTATTTTCGGTAGGTTTTTCATCGGCAAAGTATCGTTTGACGGCCACTTTCTCGTCATCCGTTGGAATGTTTGGCGCCAGTTTTGGTGGTTCTTTGGATTTTCGTTTCAACTTGAGTCGTTCAGGCCGTGGCTTTTGCGTTCGTTCTTTCACAATTTGATGTGGATATGGGCATCGTGTCAACTCACAGCTACCTTTACTCTGTTGCTCCGGACACAGGAACTCATGACGTTTTGAACACTAGAATACAGAATTTTTGAATTGATTCAAGAGAGAGATAGAGAGAGAGAGAAAAAAAAATCATTAAACAGGAGATATTCATCCGAGTTGATCCGTTTCGAAACGATTTTGCCAACCTCTTCAGCTTTTTCACAAAAACCACGTAGAAACTCCAAGCAAATCTCCGTTTTATCGTTGACCTTTTTGTGCAGGTACGGGCAATCAGTCTTTGAGCACATCCCCTGTAAATAAAATTTGCATGTTGGCATTTTGGATAGCGTCGTGTTGTGAGACAGTAGACATGGGCTTTTGTCACAAGTTCCCTTAAGGAATCTGGAACGGCATGAAACAGGTAAAACATTAGCGTTTTCCATTTGAATTTTGGTCAATTTCTTCATCCAAATGAACAGAAGTTGTTAAATTGATTTTATTGGCATTTGAAAAAAATGTTTACCTTGGGCACACATCGATGAGTTTTTTGTCATGGAGTTTTGTGCATTTTCCGCGAACGAAAGCGGCGCATTTTCCGAGTTTTCGATAGATTGGGCATGGAACGTTTGTTTTCACCAGACGATTCGTTAACATTTGAATACTACGCTGTTTGGCCACATTCAAATGGTAGCGACTCTTGTGGAAGTCAGTACGTTCGTAGGTGTCATTTGATTTCTTAACGAATGTTATCTTTCCGATATCGATACGCTTTCTATTGGCCGCCGCTGCTGCCGCATCGTTGATCACCGGTTTGCCATTGCTTTGAACGCGAATCAAATTCTTTCCATTTGCATCCAATAGGAAGTTTTCACCACGAACAATAAGGCGACGGTATGACGATTGATTCGAATTCGATGCGGGCGTTTTGGTGAGCGAATATTTACTGGACAGAGTAGTTTTCTCGAGTTTTCGACGATTTGATTTGTACAGAATTCCATTGATGTTCAAGAATGACGATGATTTTCCAGGTGCTGCGATTGAAAGTAAAGTGGTTGGTTTTACTAAACTGCGATTCACCGAATTGCTAAAATTTAACAGAAATAACATAATTTTAGAAGAAGAAAAAAATGCAAGAAAAGTCATCCATTTGATTTGCAATCGTACCATTTGACCATTTTGGTGGGCATCAGAGATTCGTTAATCCATAGTTTTTTGCTGGACACAAGTGGTGCAAATTTGCGTGAAATCGACTCGAGTTTGGCCTTGGCTGACCTCCGATCAATTTTAAATGCCGTTTGCTCTTTGACAATTTTGTATTTAGTCTGAAGTGGCCGCCGTAGCTTCGTAATCGTTTTCGTTGGCTTTTCAAATGATTTGGCTGGAACTCGTACCAATTTCTTTGAGCCAATTTTGATGAGTGACTTTGACGTGTTATGTATGACGGTCGGAACAATCGATTCCATTTTCGGTGGGTTAGCCGTTTTTGGCTTGATATAGGGATTGATAATTTTGGTTCGGGTATGAATTTTGGTATCGGCCAACGGTTCAGCGACTAATGAATTCGGTTCGTGTAACTGTTGTGCCGTTAATTGGGAAAATGTCTCTTTCGGATGGATTGCAATTGGTGCAGAATTTGTAGCTTGTGTCATGGCTATACCTTGTATCGATGCAGTATTCCCGAGAAATCGTGGATTGATGTAGATTTGCGTTGGAGCTGTGACAACCGTCGCTTCCGATGCTTTGCCATTGTTGTTGCCCGATATTTTGCTGAGAAAATTCGGATTGATGTGCACATTACGGAACCTTGGATTGATGTAAATCGATGACGATGCTGAATTTGGTAACATTTTTTTTCTATCGCCGTCTGCTCCTAGTTTTTTTTGTTCCTACAATGAATACATTCAATCACAGAAACAAATTGCGTTAAAATCACGAAAAATGATGCTTTCAAACTGAAAATTGGTTCGATAACAACAACAACAAAAAAAGAATTCTATCAAGTGAACGATTCGTATCGTTTTGTTTTCCTTTGTTTGAATGACATTTGACTTTATTACGAATGAGTGGCTCACATGTAATTCGTGGGCAAAAAGGTGAAATGTTATTCAACAGATATTTAGTGTGGCCAACAGCACACGTTGAACGCACTTGAATTGTGTTTAAACGGAAAACTTAGCATAAAACTGTTTATTCGATTGAATTAGAATGGGATACTAGGTTTTTATTCAAGAAAATAAAAAGAAAAAAGGGTTTTTCCCTTCTAAAATATTTTGTTATTATTTCTAAACATCCTCAAAACAATTTTGTTCATCAACTTCTTCTCGAAACTGGTTAAACACGATTTGTGTATCGGGCAACACGACACAGAGTCGTTGAGAAGGTGAACGCACGACAGTCGTTCATGTTGTCCTATGAGTGGATTTCTAGTTTGGCTCTGCGTCGCCATCTTACATTTTTTTGACATTTCCAGGCAACTTCATTCGAACACACATTCCCATCTTTCTTTTCATTCTCTTTCTGGTGCAAAATGGTAAGAAATAGCACGAGTGCTCTGAATTTTCTTAGAAATTTCAACAGTTTTGTGCCGTAAAAATAATCAATTGTTGCAATTTTAACATGGTTTTATTGTGATTTGTGCATATCAAATGAATTCAACGAATATTTTTAGTGAATTTTTGCGAAATAAATCGGTTTTATTTCCCAATCACGTACACAATGCACACATTACATGAACCGAGCAAAGAAGCCACATGGTACACATTTTGAATGAACATATCAATAGCACCACGCTTCGATTGCACTCAATTTGTTGTTTGATGATTGATTTTTTTTGTTTCAAATGATTTTAATGCGGCTTTAATTTTTCACATCGAAATCATTTCGACAAATTAGATTTGTGTATTGAAATTGAAAATTTAGTGGAAAAGAAAACTTGTGGATTTAGTCGGATATTAAGTGAAACATAACCTCAACTCATGCAACTTATTTATTCTTTTTTTCTGTCTTTTTATTTGCAGCCTTTCGAAAGATTCGTTGAAACTGGACGCGTTGCTAAAGCAACTTCCGGCCCATTGCGAGGCAAACTTATTTCAATCGTTGACGTCATCGATCAAAGACAAGTGAGTATTTTGTTTGTTTTTTTTTCGGAAAGCAGAAAATATGATTTGTGCGTTTCGGATAAGTGTGTTGTTGATGACCACCAGTGTTTTTTTATTACCACACATCAAATCAATCACACTCAATGATGATCCTAGAAAAAAAATATAGGAATTGCCGGCTGACACCCAAATGAAGCTAATTTTTCACTGAAATTCGTTTAACCAACGAAATATTCAACGATTACCCGGATTTTTTTTTGCGGCCAACTCTAACCAAACATGCTTTCTTTGTGCATTATAGGTGCTCGTCGATGGTCCAGAAACCGGTGTCCCACGTCAAGCATACCGTTTGAACAACTTGCAATTGACAAAATTCCGTGTCAAATACCCATACAATGCACCAACCCGTGTCGTGCGCAAAGCCTGGAAAACCGCTGACATCAAAACAAAATGGGAAAACAGCTCCTGGGCACAAAAATCCAAGGACGTCAAGAAGGTAAATAGAAGAACAATGAATTTCAAATCGAAAGCGAAGAAGAAGAAGAAAATTCAGTGTTGGCATTGTTGTTATCATCAAACATGATGATCCTGTAAAATAATATATAGGAATTGCCGTCTGATACCCATATGAAGCGGAATTGCACTACTGAAGCATGATAACAACACACAACAATTGAATTTCTTTCACCTCTCTTTATCTCACGACAAACACACTGAAAACCATTTCTAATCAATATCTGTTGTATGCTCTCTCTCTCTCTCCCTCTCTTTTCATACACACAGCGTACTTCGTTGAACGACTTTGAACGTTTCAAGTTGCGTTATGCCAAGAAAGCACGTAACAAGCTCTTGACAGCTGCCTACAACACCTTGAAGAAGAGAACTAAGGCCGATGGCACAGCCAGAACTTTGAAGAAGGACCGTAAAGTTCGCATCGCAGCAGCCAAAACCAAGGGTGGCAAAAAGGGTGGCAAAAAATAAATCTTTGAATATTTAATTCAAAATACCGTTTTAAATGAAAAGATTGATAAAAAATAAACAAAAACCAACAATTTGATAATTAATCGAAAGGAAAACTGACTCTTTTTATTTAATTTCGGTGAACTGAAGTGGATTCTGTGAATTGCTCTTTAGCATTTTTTTTTTGTTCTTAAAAAATTTGATAAAAAAATATATAAAAAAGAATGTATGTTGTGTTGGAAGATTAAGTTCATTGGACCAATACATCGTAATCTACAGCGCCGGCACATCGTGATTGGTAGTACTTAACATAGGCTTCTTTTGGGAAATTGTATTTCTTCACAGCATCATCGTTTTCAACCAATGTCTTGTACCACTTGGTCTGAAAAAAGAGCAAAATAATAGAAATTAGATCTTTTTTCTTCACTTCTTCAAAGTGCTTCTGTGAAAATGTCAAACTTGTTTTCCCAATTTGAAGAGCCAATTTTTGATTTCAAGCTTCAATTGCTTTCAAATTATTCGTATCTCAAAATCGATTTCAATTTCTCAGTCGATTGCTGTTAGCACATACCAATTTAGGGAATCGTTCCTCGCTGAAAGTGCATCCTTTGCCGAAAATCACATCAAGCACTTCGGTGCGTTGGAACCATGGCCAAATAGCGTAATCTAGATGTAAATGGGGTTGATGCAAAAAAGTTAGCAGAGATAGTATTGAATACTGAATATGATTTTGTGTTTTATTACCAAGAATTCCAGCTTTTGCACCGCCAAAGTAGGTTGTACCACGACGTTGCAATTCGCGTTCGAATTCATCAAGATCGTTTTGAATTGCATTCCACTGAGCCACACCATCGACGATATTATAGAATTTCGATGCGATCGATGAGAAACGTTCAATCCAAATTTTTTCCTGTAGCTTGGCCAACGGGTCGCTTGGATAGAGCTTATTTTGTGGGTGCACTTCGTCCAAGTATTCAGCAATCAACAACGATTCGTAGACAAACGGTGCATTTGGCTTATCAACAAGTTGCAAAGCGGGTACTTTGCCAAGTGGGTTCGCTTCGAACAACCAATCGGGCTTATCATTCAAATGAATATTCACCGTGTGATACGGGATATTTTTAGAGTCCAAAACCAAATGGATTCGAGCGACGTACGGACAAAATCGCATCGAATACAATTGATAAATGCCATCATTCGGGAAAACCGGCTTTTCGTCGCCTACAAAAAAAAAAAATCAAACCGACAAAATAATAAACGGATTTATTTTAATGAAAATCAATATTTTGATTTTTTTTTCTCAAAATATCTCACCTTTACGATAGTGTTTGGTGTTGCTCATTGTGCGCAATTAAACTGAATGCTGATGAATGATATGTGTTGCAATAAAAACTTGCTTTTCATCTGAAGTGTATTGATTTGTTTGCTGACGAAGATAGCGAAATATAAAGTTGCAATTTGTTGTTTGATTAACATAACCTCTTTTTTGCTCGAATGCCCAACAAACAATTTTCACGGCTGATTTGACGTGATGATGGAGATTTAAACGAAACACATGAAATTGCAATAACATCTGATGTTTATTTGTAACCAGCTTTTAAGTACACAATAATGATTTTATTTAAAATATGCATTCAAAAGAATAGAAAAAAAAACAATTAAAAGAAAAGTCATCAAAATTTCAATATAGAATTCGAAAGCACTTGTGATGTTTTTGGATCGATTTGTTGATTATTTGTTGTTTTTTTTGGAAAGGGTGTAGGCGATAGAATGATTTACTCATTTGGTGATGGTCAAAGCGCTCGAGTTTTTTTCTTCCCTCTCGTTCCATTTCCTGTCCATTAGGATTCTTCCACCAAAAGATCATAGTGTGGAGTGCCATCGCGGCGACCGAGTGAAAATTGAGTATGCGTGTATGTTGACAACAAATGTTTTTGAACTGCTAAATCTTCTCGGGTCAAATGAAGCCATTGAGCCTGTGGAGATGAGCAAATTTTTTTTATTAAATCGAATCATTTTGTTATAAGAATAGCGAAGAAAATTCGTTTCGTCTCTAATCTATCTGTTCAATACTCAAACAAATAAAATCGTCATCGAACTTACCAATTTCGGGAATTTATCATCCAAACTGTACTTATCTCCAATGAGCGAGCCAAGGATGCCGAATCGTTCAAACCATGGCCAAACGGCGTAATCTGAAGAAAATTGAATTGAAGCAAAAACAAATTACCAGAGGTAATGCCAAATAAAAAATATGTCATTTGTTTGCAATATTTTTTTTCTGTTACCAAAAATGCCTGGTTTCGCACCGGCAAAATATCTCGTTCCGCGTCTGGCTAATTCAGTTTCATACTGTCCAAGTTCCGCATAGAATGTTTTCAACAGCTGCTCATTAACATCGTCGGCATTTTTCTCGTAAACCAATTTATAGAAGGCTCCAGCAATTGAACCAAAACGTTCGACCCACAATTTTGTTTGTGCCTTTTCCAATGGATCGTCGGGAAATAGCTTCACCTCAGGGTATTTCTCGTCCAAATATTCGGCAATCACCATCGATTCAGCCAAGAATGGCTCACCGGGTTCATTAACCAGTTGCAAGGCTGGTACTTTGCCATTTGGATTCAATTTTGAATACCATTCCGGTTTATCGCTCAAATTGATGTAGGCAACATGATATGGAATATTTTTCGCATTCAACACAAGATGTATTCGATGAGCGAATGGGCAAAAACGCATCGAAAACAAACGCAATTGGCCATCGTTTGCAAAGGACGGTTCACTCGATCCTATGATTCAGAAGATGAAAATAAGACGTAAATACCCGAGCGCTTACGTCATTTTTATATTGATTCACATAGTGTTTGTTTGTGTTGTATCAACAGACTCCACTACAACACAGCGATAAAGGGTAAACAAATGAAATTAAGGCATAGCAATTTTCTTTTCAAAATTTTTACCTTTTCCAAAATGACGATTGGTATTCACTGCCATTATTTTTTTGTTGCCAAAAAAGAGAGAGAAAAAAATTGAATGGAGAAAAGTCAGACAGCGATGTCAATGCACAAAGTAATTGATTGAGACTGAAAGCGAAAGCAAATGGTGAAAAACATACAGCAAGCCGCTGACCGTGGCGTAAATCATATACACATATACACGAAATGTGTTTGCACAGTGAGCACACAATGTATAGCAGAGTGGTATTCAACGCTCGCACTTATCGTATATTCTAGACAATCAAAAAGACTCGAAAAGTATATCACAGTGTGTGTGTGCGTGCGCGGTTTCTTAATTCGATTTGAATTCTTCTGCACTTGCTCACACTTGGAATATACGGCAACATCAACATGATTTACAATCATGACATTCGTTAAGGTGAAAATATGCGATTGCTGACTATTTGACGCGCTGTCACTTTTGAAGTTTTGTTCATGTAATAATCATGTAATGTCTGATTGCACAGACTGTTCAATTCTTTTCTTGAATGGATTGGTTCCAAGTTTTTTCTTCTTCGAATGAATGAATTTTTTTGTATTTAAAAAGAAAGCGATTCCGTTTAATGATCTTTCAATCAAAAATTGTGGCACCAATTCCAACGGAAACCGGATTGAATGTTGTGGTTGATAAAACTCGGATGATCGATTTCCTACATGTCGATTTACCATGATTTCTCTAGTTACATTATATTTATTTTCAGTCAGATGTGTGGTTTCAATCTGATATTTTGGCCAACAAATCCATATGTGCGTAGCAAATAAATCAATTTTGCGACCAATGCGATTTGCAATTGTGGGTAATAAACAATTGTGTATTCAACGCGAGGCGTTCCATGCTATTTTTGTATCGCAATAAGCAATCATGTACTTGATGTCTAAAATTACCCATTTTTAATGAAACTCTCAAAATTTTGAATTTACGCAAGAAAAAATATGCATGTATTTTTAGAATTCTCCGCTCCAAGCTTTCACTTTGTGAAAATGATTTCATTCCTTTGTACATTGCTTGCCGTAGTAAATCAATAAGCGAGTTACTACATTTGACCTTTTGCCTGAATGGGATTTGACACAGGCCACCGGTACTACATAGCATACGGGATTAAACATAAATGAGGTGCGACATGCGAAGGTTTTACAAGGCTTAGGCGAGGTATGGGAGGTGTTTGACCAGCGGACAGCTGCGGTTGACCCATATGAAGCAGCTGATGAAAATATTCATCGGAAAGTGTTAATGGAAAAATGTCAATATTTTCGCGATAAACATCTAACAACTGACTTATGGTTTAGCATAAATTTGAAATTAGTGTTTTCGAAAACGGTATGTAATCGATTGCCAAGCTTCAGGAATTTATTCCCATCGTGTAATACTCGTCGTTAAACCGATACAAATGAGCTTGAAAATCAGTTTTCTTATACGATTAATGTATTTGTTCAAATTTGGTATTTATAAAATTTATATTTGATAATAATCAAAGAGTCATCACTTACACTTTTCAAACTTACCCAATGCAGAATCATTGCGTAGAAAGAGAAGAATAAATGGTCCCCCATGACCACACATGATAAATTCTGTAAAACGCTCATAAAACACCGAATAAAAGGCTGCGTAAAATAAAAGGCGACACTCATTTTAAGATGAATTATTAGTGTATTTCAGATTCCAGTTGTAATTATCCACAATGACAATTTTTAAAATTTAAAGATTTTAATTTAATTCATTTTCCGTTAGATTTATTTTAATTTTTTTTTGTTCATTATGCTTTTGTTGTAGTTATTATTTATTTTATTTTATACAATAGAATTCTACGGAATGACAAAACATCACTGCAAATTTTAAATTTAGTACATACATACACAGTTTATGTGGGGGAGGGGGAGACGGGAGTAATGGTTGTGTGTAAGTAAACTGTTTTTGGCTTTTGTGTTCTGTGAACGGAATGGAATGATGTGTGTGTGTGTGTGTGTTGGAGAGCAAAGAAAGAGACGACGGAGGGAGAGGGGAGAGGGTATGAAGTTCAAAACGGATGACGATGAACTTTTTTGGTTGGAAAGTCGGTTAATTTACTTCCATGTTGCATTGTCGATGGATGTGATTTCTTTTTGTTTTCGTTTCTTTTTCTTTTGTTAAATGTCACATAAAATTTATTTCAACTACAAACGCTGCTGCAGGACTATTTTTCATTAGACTAATTTATGGTTTTGGATATTTTTTTGTTTGGTTTGTTGCTTCATTCCATTAAAACACACATATGTAATTTTTTTGGTTTTTTCTTCATCTCTTCATATTTGTTCCTTTTTTTTAAGTATGTTTGAGTAAATGTTTACGAAAATCTTAGAAAACAATTGTTTTGCATTCGATTGAACCATTCAACTCTTCTGGTTGTGTTGGTTTTTTTCTCTCTGACTTTATTACCGATCATTTGTCAATCAGTGTATGATGTCAACGACGTATATTGCTATGGTCTAACATTTAAGTGGTTCATTGTTCAATAGATCTCATTGTGTTCGGCTCTTTACGTTCATACATGTATTTTAAGACGAATTTTTTCCATTTTTGTTGTGTCGGCTAATGCTACTACGTATATTTTTTCTAGTTAGTAATTGCTCTCCGAATATGGTCGTTTCAATTTCCATTTATTTTTCTGACCATTTCGATGGGAATTCTGATACCGTTTCATTTTACCTTTGTCTCATTGATTCATTTTTGAATGTGTGTGATGTTTGAATTTGCTTCGTTAGTTATCTGGAATTATTTCATTTCATATGTTCAGTTATCTTGTATTGTTCTCGGTTTTTTTTTATTCTTGTAAACTTTGTGGTCAAATTGCGAGAGTTCACCTGAATCACAGAGGACATATACTCAACATCAAGCTCATTTCAACTCGAAAGAAAAATTCCCCATGTTCAATGCTTACTCTCCTCTTAAAAAATACGCGATTTTAGTCTAATAAATAGATGTTCCGAATGGAATGGTTCGAATTACATGTAGAATTGTTGTTGGCCATGTGTTTTTCTTTTCGTTTTACTCTTTTATCTCTCTTTACTCTATTTATCTCTCTCTCTCGTCGATTTTAACTGATAATTCAACATATTTTCATCAATTTCTTATGGTTACGCCTTAAATTTATAATACTCTTTTTTTGTTGGTTAATTTTTGTTGTTGTTCTTGCTTTGATTACACATTAAATGTTAGTAGGATAAATTAATTGATTATTCAATAAAAAGAAATTGGAATTTTTTTTTACACATTTAGATACACAGACTCTAATATGACTAGCATTTATAACGAACGATCATTTAAGTTATGCATTTATTCCATTGATTAAACTTTTTTTGGTTTGTTTTTTTCGGTTTTTGGTTTTAGTTCCACGTATTAAACATGAAATATGTATTATATTTTGTTCTTCTGTTTAGGTGATTGAAAAAAAAAACACCACACCGATCAATCTCAAGCTACTTTAATATCAAGACATAATATCCTTGTATATCGCTGTGTTTTTTTTTTGTCTTCACTTTGAGTTTTTGTACTTACAATTTAACTTCACGGATTAACATTAAATCTATGGCTATTCTTTTCTTTTTTTTCATCAATTACTACTATTACCAATAAATATTTTTTTTGTGGTTGTTGTTGTTGTTGTTGTGGTTTTTCTTCTTTTACTCTTAGCAAGCTAATACTGTGACGAGTACATAAATACATCTTCTGCGTTAAACTTAAGACAATTTTGCTCTGTTTCTATTTCTGTATGTCTTGTTTTCAATAGGAAAGGTTTCTTCCAAGGAAAATATTAAAATCAAATCAATAAATACATGAAGAGGAAATTAGAATTTAGAAAAAAAAAAAAAATAAAATGTATAAGAAAATCAGATTCATTTCAAACATAGGGAAAGACTTATAAATTATATTGATTGCTAGAATATTTGACCTCTGTTTTGAATGAATTTGATGCTGATTGCTATGCGTAGTGCGGATACGAGCCTAAGTGTGGTGCGACATGCGACGGTGTTACATGGCTCATCGAATGCGATGGATAGATGTTCGTTGCTGGACTGCTCCAATTGCCCCATGATGCAGCCGATGGAAATATCGATGCTAAAAGTGAAAAATACCATCGATTTAGTACAATTGTTTAGGGACAATTTTTTGCTCGTTTGTCGAACATTTTTGAAATGTGACATTTCAATCGGTTTTTCAAGTATTTTGAATTATTTTGTTTTTTTTTATAAATAAATTTTGTTTTCTCCAAATTTGTTCAAATTTGATTAAATTTCTTTGAATTTATCATTAATTGAAGAAATTATCAATTTTTTTTGTTCATATTTACGATGATCAAAGCAAAATTTCAGGGATTCCACTTGTTTTTACCAAAGTTGAGTTTAGTTAATTTCAAGTTGAAATTTTCAACAAAACGCATTGCAAACAAATAAGAAAATATTAATTTTAAACGAAATTTCAAATTGGAAATCGAATTTTGAACATTATCGAATGAGAAAAAAAGCGATGGTAAAAATTTTTGTAATAAAAATTAGTTTCTCCTCAAATGTGTTTCGAATACTCACAGGATGAAGAGGTGATGCCATGGTGTGGATTCATGAATGATGTCAATTTGGTGCCGTGATGGTATGGCGTCATAAATAGATCGCTTTGATATTTGTAAGCTGGATCGGTGGCGGTTGGTTGTGTGGCGGCAGCTAAGCCTTGAAAGTCAAACTTGTACGCATAACGCTTGCCATGTACTTTTGTCATGATATTCTTATCATAATAATACCTGCAAACGATAAAAACGTAACATTTCACATAGAATCTAATCCCGTACTCTCGTTTTTATAAAATGCTTTGTGTTTGATCTGTCTCTCTCTCTCTCTCTCTCTTCGTTCCTTGTGTGATAGAAAATCGATTTGTGAGATACATTCGCAATAAATGTATCGATTTGTTGGCTAAATGATAAATCTCGTTCATTCAATTCACAAACAGTAATTGCCCTCATTCTGGCGTATTTGCCACATGGCAGTTTGTGTGCACAAAAACACACAAACGCGGGCAAAAGCGACTGCAAAACTAGGGTCAATTATTCCACAATACAAACGAGATGAGCAATAGCGCATGTAACCGATGTTAAAATAGATCCAGAGCAAAAATGTCACAATCAAATTATCAATTGCTAAAATGGGCCAATTTTTCAAAGAGAGAGAGAGAGAGAGAGAGAGAGAGAGAGAGAAAGAACCCACGCAATGCAACTTCTTCAAATAAAAACAATGTAATCATCAAGTGAATTAGGAAGAGAGAAAGAAAAAAAAGACGAAATTACCTTAATGCGCGACTTAGTTTATCGTAGTTCATGTTTGGCTTTGATTTGCGTTCACCCCAGCGTCTGGCTACTTCATCGGGATCGGTTAGTTTGAACTCACCATTTGTTCCTTCCCATGTAATAGACGCTGAAATTTTTATGCGAAACAGAGGAGAAAATAGAGAAAAATACCGACAATTATCCAAATCTATTTCATTTCATGTTCATCAAAAATCACAAAAACACACACACACACACACACACACACACAAACACAATATAACAGCCAATATTGGACGGCGCACAACCGTGTTCCATGTGTATATTGGAACAAATTTCGGTGGAAAAATAGCCAAGCTAATTTATCGAGATTGGCCCTGTTTACCAAATAAAACGTTCAACATAATAGCATTTTTCTTAAATCTAATTTAAGGATTTTCGTTTGCCGTAGCTGCTGCTGCTGCTGCTGATGTTTTTGTCCATTTTTGGCGTTCGAGATAAGTGAACTGATAACAATAATTACAATATGAAATGGATCGAGTAGTTGATTGTGCTTACCTGAATTGCTTGAATCACTGAGTAGCTCCAACAAGAATTGCCAAAGTTGAATTTGACCGGAACCTGTGAACAAAAATAAAATGAAATGAAATGAGAAAAATAAAACTCAAATATTTATTCGCTGTCCGCCATTCTGATTATTTCGTATCGAGCCAAACCATAAAAAGAAAAAAAAACACCCGAATTTTTCGATTCAATGTTTATTGTTTCGAAATTGGCCGTCGATCGAACAAAACGGATTGCATGTCATGTTAAAATGAGCGCAATTAAAACGGCGCAAATAAGTATAGCCAAACATGAAAGTGGCATGTGAAAAAGTGAAAATCACAGTCCAGCGCCAGACTGGTGATGATCTCAATGCAGTGAAAAGCTAGTTTGGACATGGAAATTCGGTTGGTGATAGTGTTCTGCTGGTGGGCGAACGATTTTGAGAAGAATAGTAAAAGTCAAATTAAGGGCGGACTGGTCACATCATCCATCATAATCAATAATCATTAGAGATTGTTTGTAAGGGCATTTGTTGATTGCTCATTTTTCGAAGAGCCCCGACTATTCAGCCAACTCGATTTTCTCGTCGATTATCGAGCATAAAACAAGATTCTGCGATTCGTTTTCTTTTCTCATTTCGTTGGAATAGACTTGCGTTTAATCGCTTTGATAGTTAATAATTTATTTACTTGAGCACAATCATGCTCAAGTCATGCCCGAAAAAAAAACGGGACGATTGATTCGATATTCGTTGTTTTGATTCTTATATTGCTGGCCAGTATGACATGCAAGAATCGAAGCCCAAATAATCGAACCGAACCAAAACTATACATGTATTTAAGCTGAAGCAAATGGGCAAAATAAGGGCTTGATTGTTGTTATTATGTGTGTGTGTGTGTGTTTGCTATTCATCGAAGGCGAGTCGACAATTTGTGCATCGTCAGTCAGTCAATTCATGAAACAAGGCCTGCACACGCTCTCACTCTCGCACTAAATTTGCTAAATGCTATGATTAAAATTTAATCGACCGTATTAGCACCCACAAAAATCTTTCTCCCGCTTGTGCTCGTCGCTTTTGTATCTCTCGGAGAATGCCGAACAGGAGTTAGCGAACAGATATCTTACACACGGGGGTTGAATTTGGCGCACCCATTTTCATTATGATTTCATATGGTGGCTGCTGCTTTGTTGTTGTTGTTACTGTTATTGCTGCTGCTGCTGCTGTTATTCGTTCCATTTGCTCAAATCATTATCGACTCATCATCGCAAATATCTCAACAGCTCCGCACGCATTCGCACATAATATATTTTGCCATTTGCTATTTTAATGCCCGCCCGCTATTTCAGCGCCCTACGTAACATGTTGAATAACACACTTTTTGATTTGTGCTGAGTCAAAAACGATACAGGCAACAAGAAACCCAAAAGTGAAAAATGACAAAATAATTTGAGCCGCTGTGCAAAAACGATTATGACGATGATTAACGACACCATCTCTTTTGAGCGGGATCATTTTTTCTTCTTTGGATTTGTTTCTCATTTCGAAGCAGGAAGCAGACACAATACACATAGTTTTAAATTGAGCTGTTTGCACCAGTGCCAAGGTAGAACATTCCAAATGTCAACACTACCGACGGCACATATATCAATCTATTGGGAGACATTAATTTGATTTTATTTCCACTTTTGCGGCAATTTTGAGCCAATCTCTATCCCTGTGTCTCTAGAGATCGATTGTATTGTAATGAGCTTATTTATTTTCGAAGGTATTTCATCGAGATTATTGGCTTTAGTGACAATAATTAAATGAAATAATTTTTAGCATTGGTTGATCTTCAATTCTTCGATTAGTTATCGGAATGAAGATTTTTTTCTTCTGAACTTTTCTCCTCTCAGGCTAGAAACCTATTCTTCATTTATCAACAAAGAAATTTGATAAATAAATGAATGGAGCGAAACGTATTTTCAAAAGATTAGACTATCTTTCACCATGTTTAGATTATTTTCTGCATTTGGCTATATGTATTTGAATCCAGATAAAAAGAATTCCGAGCTCGAAGTCAAAGATCTAGAATTATAGGTCAATGAACAATTTGCTTGTAGGTGTAAAACTCAGATTTGTTTCGTTTGTTCTTATTACCGCCTAAAAATGATTTGTTATAATAGTTTAATACCGACATCAAACGAAAATGTGAGTGATTCGCATCAATTACAAAATGTGCTGTGTTGCTACCGAAGCGAACCGGTTCATAATAACAAATTAAAGAAACAATAGTGTGTTTGGCTTCTCGATTTCTTATTTAATAAAATGCCACGTGACTCGCACGACCCTCGATATATGCCGGGAAAAAAAGAGAAGTAAAATAGATAGACTAGGAAGGGAATGTGTTTGTGCATTTTAAGCTGTCATGTAATAAATTTACTTAATAATTTGTTCATTTTTATTTGCTACGATTGAGTTGGGATGGTGGGAGCGAGCGCACTAGCGCACGCACACATCGGCAACACCTTCTTTTTTGCCTCTCTGTTAACGACATGCATATGTGTTTTTAAAGTGTGTACAATCAAATCAAATTCGAAACAATCAAGTTAGCGGCAGCCGCTGCTATGCCAGGACTAAGAGCACGAAGAGAGAGAGAGAGAGAGTGAACGAAAAAAAAACAAACTTACAATTTATGTAACACACAATATTACGCCCTTATTTGATTTATTACAATTTCTTCGAAGTGTGTGTGTTTTTTTTGCTCGCTTGGCTAGTGTTTTAACTCCGTTTGCTCCACATTTTTTTCTCTCTTCTTCGGCTGTATGGCTGGCTGGTGGTGTATTTTTTTTCTTCGGCTTAAATTTATTTTTGATGTGATTCACACCAGCCGCGATAATAGAAATGCACAAGGGCAAGCTGTTATGAATATTAAAACGACATACACGCACATACACACACGGGACGCGCGCACAAAAATGTATGTGAAAGAGTCATAGTTCAGTGATTCATTTTGTTTTAATAGATAAAAATGCTCGCGCGACGCGACAGGCCAGCTAAAAAAAATCAAGAAAAGAAAGAGACAAAAGAAAATTGCATAGAGCAGTGTCGAATGGGACACAAGTAGGTATAATTTTTCAAGTGGCAAATAACGTCATCTGACTCTCTCTCTCTCTCTCTCTCACTCTCTCTCTCTCTCTCTCTCTCTCTCTCTCTATCTCTTGGTTCTTATGTCCATAAATTCGTTTTTTGGTGTATTGTTCATCGAGTTCAGTGCGCCTATTATGCACGTGTGCATACGGCTTGTACCCCGTTCGAATATATTTTGCATAATTTTACATAATTTTTCTCTCTCTCGCTTACTTTTTGAGAAAAAAAAATTTCAACGGAGCATATTATCCGCGCATTTATTGAAATTCAAATCAACTTTTGTCAGCTGGTGGAGAGCCATGAAGCATATTGCTCGTATGACCTCTTTTTTTTATAGCCACAGTACATATTTAGAGCTTTGGTGTAAGGACATCGATTGCAAATCGGTACAAATAAACTAATGATACAGATTTTCTTGTTCTTCTAATTGATTGCGTTTTTGTATTGCTCAATGAATCTTCAGAAAAAGCCTTTATACTGGCTCTGCAGCAGTTGACTTCAATTTCACAAATTGATTTACGGTTAATTGGGCGCGTTCTCCAAAAAAAAAACATTGCTCCGAATATAGTGTCCAATAAAGTGTCAGATATGCATCTAATTTCCATTGTTCCAGCGGCCAATGTACAACACGTCAATGTAAATGCGACGGCGGCCTGTTGTACAGCTTACTATTGCTCTATATCAGCCAAATCAATTCTCAAATCTAACCGTATTCTACAAATCCATTTTCTAGTCATTCGACCGAATATACATATTTGCCCTTTAAATATTCCGTCGTTTTTTTTTCTCTCTCGTAATTTCACCTGGCCACGGAATATGCATTTTTTTTTTCTTGACGTCGGTCACACAACAAACTCACGAAGGAAGCAGAAAAAACAACAACAACAACCATTTCTCTTCGGAGAATATCATTTCCAGTTTTGTTCCGGGAAGTGTTTATAGTTTTCTATTTCTGTACATTTTGCGCAACGAATAAGCATGTACACATACCTGAACTTGCTAATCGACTGCTCGTTGGACCAAACATTTGATATGGATCTGCAAAGTAGACGGGAAAAATGCAATTAGCCCGATAAATTTTTGATTAAAAGTTTCAGATGAAGAACGAACAAAACGAAAGAAATAACAACTTTGTATGACATTTTCAGAGAAAATTGCGTGGAAAATCCGAACGAAAAATTACCACCGATTCCATTTTCAACGAAGCAATTCCAAGAGGTACTACAAAGAAAGAACAAAAAACAACAACGACGACGACGACGGCAACAGTGAATTCTCGGTCGTGGTTACACACTTAGGGGTTGAACGCATGCATGCTTTGTGTCTCTCAGTGTGTGTGTGTGTGTGTTTAAAATTCTAATATATATTATATGAGCGCATAATTTATTAAAAACGAACAGCAAGAGCCGCACTACAAACAATACAACAAACAACTTCATCATTTCAGCTCGAGCACCAATTTTTACGGTCAACAAATCGACTAATGTGTTAAGTGTGTAAATTACAACTTCATTGTAAATTATTTTTATCGAGTGCATTGGTGGTTGTGGTGGTGGTGTTGCTGCTGTTGCCGTTGCTGCTTTTTGTTCTATTCGCTGATCAAGTACATTTTAATGTAATTCATTCTTTCTATTTTTCAAACCATTAAAATATGAATGAATGAATTTACAAAACTATGGCAATGTTCGTCGTACACGATTCGCGCATTTATTGCTGCTGCGGCGGCTGCTGCTGCTGCTACTTTGCTTATTGTGTTATATTTTTGTTGTTTTACTTTTTTTCCAGCTTCTAGCTTTCCTTTGTTTTGTTTTTCAGTTATTATTGTTGTCACATTATTACAATATTAAGTATTTGTTTTCCTTTTGGAATAACATTCAAAAAGAATAGCCCAAATTTGTGTGTGTTTTTTTTTCGTACGTTTGCTTCGTTTGAGGGAACGAAGAAATATAAGCCTGCAATGGAACTTGTTTCTATTTAAAGTACTTTATTAAACAACGGTTGCCATTTTTCATGGATTTTTATGTCTCTCGACAAGATTTAGACGAACGACCGGATTATTTATCGCAGAAGTAGTGAATACTTCACATAAAAATGCAAATGCAAATGCGACTCAAGAACAAATCACTCTCTCAATTGAAATTGAAAGCCATACCACACACACACACACATAATGCGTACGCAAAACAATAAATGTGCAATAAATAAAATCTTTTGTTTCAGAGCTTTGTTACTTTTTGAGGAGTAAGTCACTATTGAACGGGATTCGATTGAACGTTGGTTTTAGCACATTTTCGAATTATGCCACTAATTTGACAGAAAAGAACAAAAAATATTGAATTATTTCTATCGAAATGAATTTGCTATAATTTTTTTTATATCTATAACTTCTTTCTCTATTTTCAGAAGAGATTAAAGAATAAATGAACGAAGAATAAGTTCAATGAGAAAAAAATGATTTTTATCATATAGAAATGAAGAACAATGGAATTCAATTAGAAAAAGTAGATAAAGATATCGAAAGAGTTCTAATCCTCCGATAAAGTTAATATCGATGAGACTAAATACGAAAATTCGAAAGAAATACCAATTTGAATGGCATTCAAATCTCCTCCAATATATTTCCCAAGTAGAAAAAGTGAACGGGAAAAAATGCAAACATCCAAAATCGTAATGATTTTCCCATCGTCGTTGCGAAAACAATTGTGTCAATTTTGGTGGATGCAGTTGAATTGAGTTCTTTTGCTTTGTTAAAAATGTCACACTATTTCGGCTGACTAAACTCAAACAAAAACCATTGACGTTTCACTGCGTTAAGTACACGTGCTATTATGTGGCGTTTTATATGCTCTGACACTAGAATTGAAGCAGAACAGAAAGGAAGAAAAAAAAAGCGTATGATGGTCGGGTGGTGGTGGTGAGTCACACACACACACAGTGGCTGCAATGGCATGGCCAAAACAAAAGTCACAACGAAATTAAAGTCGATGACAAAAGAAAACGGTTGGTTCGTTTTGTTGCGAGCAGCCAACAGAAGACATTGAAAGCGAAAATACTTTCGAACAATAATTGTTACAATTTGTGGCCACGAATCATTCACATACGCGATCGATTGGCGGCGCAATGTAAGGGTAGGAGAGGGAGAGAATATGTCCTTTTTTTGTCTCCGTTAAAAACGTCATCATTTTCCTCTCTATGTTTCCAAACCGATATCGACGGCCGAAAAGGCTTTGGAAAATGCGAACACACACACACACACACACAATTTTATCGGTGCGTATAATATCAGGAGCGTCAAGAGCCGTATCAAGTGCATTGAAAACGGTAAACACAAACAGAAGGAATTGAAATTGAAAATGGTAAAAAGGTACAAGTGGTGTGGTTCACTGTCAACAGCCAACAGCCAGACGATTTTAAAGTAAATTCTTTTTTTTTCGTTGCTCTCATCTCGGCTCACACTCTCTCGCTCACTTCTTCTCTGCGTGTGCTGTTGTTGTTTCAAGTTTTCTGTTGATGAATTTTCGATTTGTGTGTTGTGTTTGCAAATGTGTCGCTCGTGCATCATTGACTCGGCTTTTTGTTACACTTACGCTTCCAATTTGAGTACAATGAATCTGTGCACAGCCATTGATGTAAAAAAATCTCTCTCTCTCGCTGTCTCACTCTCATCGCCGTCATCAGCGGTTAAGAACACACGTCTCGCACACAAAACCAAGTCGCCTCTGACGAAATGCGTTTGTGTGTAACTTATGAGACGCATGGCGACGGCAACGACGCCAAATAACAATAGAGCCGAAATCACAATATTTGACATCGGCACTAGCAACATCGGGATTAACAAGAGAAAAGTGGCAGTCGATAATGAAATAATTCTTTTGTTACTGTGACGATTGCGTTACACATTTTGAATGCGATTCGATTGTGATTTGTGCTCGTGTGCTGTTTGCAAGTCGTCATAGCCCTGGTCGTGACCATTGTGCACTCAAGCTTGCTGCGCTTAAAATTGCTTTAAATTATGAACGCTGCTTGAGTTTTTCACTTCTTTAAACTTATTCAAAACAAAACGAGAGCAGAAAAAAAAAACAACAACAGCAGAAGCAGCGGCAGCAACACTCACAAGTCAATATGCGACAAACTAATGAATGCATGAGCACTGCTCCGATTTCGAATCCAAAACAAGGAGAACCCACAAACTGTAAAGTATGTATTATTGCATTGTTCGAATGAAATCGGTAGAATATAAACATGTAATAAAATTGCTTCTAGCTTGAGGATATTTTTTTCCGCAGGGTTTTGTTTTCCACATCACTGTGTGTCGATCCGATACACAGAAGCGAATGTGAAAGGGGTGCGTGCGTCAATTCATTAATGCATCCAAAACTAAACACTTGAGATTTTCAAGTGTGTATTATGTTAATAAAGTTCAATCAAGGCCACTCGATATCGCTACAACACTCTTTGTGTGCGTACATATGAAATTACGAGCATCGGCTTCCATTTACACCGAATTTAGCCAATAAACACACAACCAAAAATGGGTGAAAAAAAAGGAAAGGCATTAAATCTATTCTTGAATCAATTTCAATGAAAACTATAAAATTGAAATCGAAGCTGTGGCAGCATTTTTCATTGATTTGCATTCGCGGCTGCCGTATGGCAGCTGGTAACATTTATTTGGGTTTTAAAACCAGCAATTTCGGTGATTTTGATTTGATCACAACCAATTATTTTCTTGTTTTGTATTGAAATTCTTTGTTTTTTATATTATACCATAAATTTGGTAGGATTGACTCATTATGAAATAACTATTTTCTATGTTTCTAACCCATAAAACCCATTTTATCCATCATTATTCATATTTTGGGCTAAGTTTTGTGAATTTTTTTTTGTGCATTTTTTTCAAACTTAAATTACTTGTTTGTTATGCTTAATTCCTCCGACTTCTTGACTGTTTTGTTGCCGCTATATTTTCACGATTTCAACAAATGAAAACTTTGATGTTTCAAGTATCAAATCTGAAAAAAAAACTGTCAAACTGTTGAAATGCTAACTCTCAAAAGCTCAATGAGCCAAGGAAAATCCTACGCGAATTCAATTACGTTGTGATGGATGGAAGATAATCCAAAAGTGGTTGGTTAAACACGTAACCAGAAAAAAAAGAGAGAACCAGAAATGATAAGAATATCAGAAACGTGCGCCTGTTTAACGGACGTTTAACTCAACGGGAAGTGTATTTTCAGGATAATTTTTTGTGTTGTTAATTTTAACGTCACTTTCTCAATCCATGTGTTCATTTGTAAAGATAACAACATTAACAACAATAAAATGCAAAACTCGGTGCGCACCACCGGCGTGAGTGAAACGAGCGAGTGCGATAGATAGAGAGTGAATCAAGCAATGACAATTTACAAATCGAATGGAATTGTAGCAAATGCACACATATTAAACATAAACACTTAATCGGTTGCCATTAAACAAACATAAAGGACAACCATCAAACCGAAAATAAAGAGCTTCAATGGTAGTAGCAAGCGCACCGCACGAAACAAAGCCAATCGACACAAAAACACGAATAAAAATTGTAATCCTTTGATTTTCGATTTGCATCCCCCTATATTTGAGAGTGAGATGGGAAATTCTCTTGGTTTTTCGGCTGGTTATGCTGACGTTCGTTTTATTCGATTACTTGCTTTGTTCGTTGAACATGAACGTGTGTTTATGCACGGCTATGAGTGAGAGGCGATGAAGCTGCGAACGCCATATACACGTACATGATTGCAGATAACAAAAACAAAGCGAATCACTTTTATTTTTGTGAATTCTGAGAGATAGGCACACACACACACACACGAAAAAAAGAGTTGGACGACATTGGCGAAGAGACAGCCTCACCATAAAATAAATATTATAAAAAGAACAAAGCGAGAGGGAGAGAGAGAGAGAGAGAGTGAGAGTGAAAAAAGTAACAAAGTATTTGAAATGCGTCGAGGTGAAAGATATCACTAGAAAGCGTCGAAAGAGTGAGGGAAAGAGATATGGAGAAAAGTTGCAAAGGAAAATTTCGAGCTGACGTTGATTTGTGTTGTTTTGTTAGCTCATGTGGAGATGAGACGCTAAATGCAAACACTGTCACACACTCAAACATATCGAAAATGTATTACATTGTAAACGATTTTACGTGCTGTGAATTTTGCTCTGGTTGCTCTGCCAAAATGCCATGCAAAAGCATCTCCTCGGATGATCAATATTTGTTCATACATACACACAGATAAAGAGATGTACAGAGACAGAAACTCGACTCTTGTTCAATTTCGGCTCGGTTTTGTAAGTGGCTTCGCACTATATGGTTGTGTGTGTATATATATTCTGGCAATTTTGCAAATGGCTCACACGACTGAATGTGTCAATTGATGCATAAAAGAAACATAAGTCACATACATTGGTGTGCTATGAATTTGCCTGTTCAAGCGTTGTACTACGCCTCAACTCCATTGCATATCACTATTGCAATTGATTGTTGTTTTTTCCTCTCTCCATGCGTTCGTTTGGTGCTTTCAATTGGCTTTTATTTCAATCATGTTAGTGATTTTTCGTTCATTCGATCGTTGATTGTCTTTGATGTTACGAAACAAAGAAATGCAAATATTGCACCAGAGTAAAATTGTTCAACTTTTCTTTCGACATTTAATCCAATAAAATGCGAAGCGATTGACCCAACGTGAAATTTTGCGAAAAAAAAAAAAAAATAAATAAATAAACATTGATTGAAAAAATCGAATAGTCCTGAGCCAGTTTTTACTTGCCGAAAATGAAGCTGATCAAATGTTCAAATATCGAGATTGCCAATATGCCTTCCTCTTACTAAATTGGCATCTCGCAACAATAATAACAACCGTTTTATTTCCTAACATTTGACTTTATTTTGGTCATTCACCATTCAGTCTGTTTGGTTTTTACTAGATGTCCTGTTGACAGCTATCACATTTCTCTCACAATCCTCTGCCTCTCGTAATTATCGTTTTTTTTTGTGATTATTTTCTATTTTCGATTATTATTTGTAGCAATAGAGGCGATAAGAGGAAGCAGCACAAAAAAAATCACATCAAAAGAAATCACAGCCTGATTTGTGATTTGTAAGGGCATCGAAAAATTTGATGTGAATGCTAAATAAACAATTGAGAATGACAGCGACGAACCGAGAAAGGAAAAATAATAATAGAGACGCACAAATGAATGAACAAATGGAATCGACCGGGCAAGGCCGTAAAAAAATATATCTGGCATTGTATCAATATTGACCACAGAGGGGTGGAATGAAAATATAACTCGGCAAAAAAACATAACAACCGAACGATCAAAATTACTTGTATGGTATTGAACTAATTTTCGCTTCCCTTCTCGAATTGGCAATCGAGCATTCTACGCGCTCTCTCTCTCTCTCTCTCTCTTTCTCTCTCTCTCTCTCTACCCTGTCATCGAAGCTGTATAGTGTTTTCATTTGTTATTTGATTTTTAAAGTCCGAACTTTCTTCACCACTATTTCTATCTCGGTTGTTATGAAACGATATTTTGATAGAAAAATCAAAACAATAACAATTGCGAGTGTAGAAAATAGTAGCGCGTAGCGCGCGCACAGGGGAAACAATGTGTATGTGTGAAGGCACAATGTAACAACAACAACAAGACATCAAATGAAAATCCTTGGTAGATTGACTGTGTCAATCTATCGATCCCAGTGCAAATATTGTTTGATTGTTCATTTGTGTTTGCTTTTTTGCACGTATTCACACTAGACAATGACGTTCTGACTCCGAGCAACGCCGCGCTCCCACACACCAATCTCTCGTTCGCCATTGAATTTCCAAATTGTTCCGAGTATCATCAAGAAAATCACACGGAATTAGGTCAATAAAGTGGATGTTACGTGATTTCCATTCATACACCGATACACACACGATTTTCTCAACTTTTAGTGTCCAAAAATACATTTCTTTTCTCTAAAATCGACCACTTAATACTGTTTCGGATAGCCCATTCGACAGCATTGCGTCGCACTCACCTGATTGTCTAAAATGTGAATGTGAATCCAACGATGACTTTCCAATGCCTACATTTGCGTTTGTCAACGTATTTGTTGTGTAGCCTAGAGTATTGAAAATGAGAATAGACACAATTAGTTTGATCTGTCTGTTATACATATGTGTCGCTGAGCATAAAAATGGGAATACAGATCTGTTACAGCAACAACCGAACATAAAATATTGTTCCCTAAAAACATTACATGAATTTCCATCTAACGCGAGTGTAACATGAGTGAGTTGCATTAGAAACAGTATTAGCTCATGTTACACTCGCGTTCGATAGAAATTCATGTAACGTTTTTAGGGAACAATATTTTATGTTCGGTTGTTGCTGTAACAGATATGTATTCCCATTTTTATGCTCAGCGACACATATATATGAAAAGTGTGTTTGTTCATTGAAGATTCTTACATGAGTTTTCGATTCAAATTCAAATTCAATACCATTTTACTAATATTAGCCGAATTTCCATGCGGTTTCAAATTCTGAGTGAGAAAATTCATCTTCGACCGTGGTATATGAAAGTAAATGTGCCTAAAAGAGAGAATCTTCCACCCAACCCAAGGCAAAGCGAAGCCAAGCCAAGTCCTTAGCCAAAGAAAAGCATTTCTTTGATTAAAGTGCATATAAATTCTGGTGCTCTGTTAATACGAATCCAAATAAGACACATTCTTACTTGGATTCATATAAAAAGAGTAAACGTGTCCAAATTGAGAAGCTCTTATTATTATTCCGTGTTCATGTTTCAATATGCACCGATTTAGTTTCATCCTTCATCATCAAAATTTCCACAGTCAAAAGAGTTATGAGTACAATGCAAAATTATCAGTGCAAATATTTGTGCGAACTTTTGACAATCGTACGTTCATTTTACCATTTGAATGCCGTACAAAAGATGTAATTTTTTTTTCTGCCTTTGTGTCGATATTCGCTTAGTGCATCAATTCAAGCAAATAGCGTTTTTGAAGTTGTGATGACAACAATTGCAAACATTTTTCGTTTTGCTTTCAATCACTTAACTTTTATTTTTCTCTTCGCTTGCAACGGCACGGGGTATATGATTTCGAACGATGATAGTACATTTTATGGATAAAGTTTTCGCTCTCTCTCACTCTATCTCTTTTGGATTTCATTTTATGTGTCAGTCGCAAAAGACATGATGAATATGAACGACCGAAATTTGATTCAGTCTGTGTTGGCTGCTGTTTGTTCGCATTTTGGAAATTGTTTACACAAAAAATATCGCATCTTCAAAAATGGCTCTATCGGTTTTTATCCTATTTTACGACTTATCGACAGATAAAAGGTATTGGCACATCACTCATTCACAGAGTGTCGAATTCATTTTTACCATTTTCGTTCCACTTGAATGTGTCGTCGCATCAAGTAAAATCGAGCTAGTTTGAATTCGATCCATATTTTATATGTACCTTTTATCTGTGTGGATTTTGGTGGCGAGTGAGAGTGAGAGAGAAGATGGAGAAAAAAAAGGGTTTCAATCCGTTAACATATCCAATAACGTTATTTACACCGAACACCGTGCATTGACAGTTAAAGTAAACAATGAGATATTTTTCCAAAGTTTGCACAACAACGCCAATTGCGTTTGCATCGCGAATTTGTGTGTATTGATAAAAACATTGTATACGTATCCAGTGGTGTGAGTAAAATTTTTGCCTCGTCTGTGTGATTTATTTATTTCGACTATTTCATTTCGGGTGCGATCAGCAGCGGCGTCGGCGACACAGCGGAATAGTTTTTTTTTCTGTGTGTGTACTATTCTCCGGGAGAAAAAAACAGGCCCAAAAAACAACGAATTCTTTAACAATAGTGTAAATAATTTGCTGAGCGAATTTCTATTCAGGCGAGATCACTCTTTTCAATTGGCGTGGGCTATTTTCTAGAAAAAGAGAGTAGAAAAAAAACGAACGTGAAAAAAAACCTTTGTCAATGTAGCCAGCCCATTCAACGAGGATGCGTAGATAAAATACGCAAGTGGCATCGTCATTAAATTATATGGGTATTTTGTGTTGTTGGACGGCTTGTGTGTGCTCGATTTTTTTTTCTTTCTTCTTCATCGTCTTTTTTTCCAGCTTCGTTGAATGGTCTCGCGTTGTGCGTTTTATTTCGGTATGGGTCAATGGTCAGCCATTAAAATGGTAGAAAATGCGATAGGCGAACTAGTTCGCAGAGCCTAATCAGTAATTCAAACCATCAACGAATGGGCTGAGCAAAAGCAAAGAGAAAGAGAGAGAGAGAGAGAGACAGAGTAAATCGTATAAATTCGCCATGGATATTGAAAATGGATTTGAGCTTCCTTTGTGCCGTTCAACCGAATATCAATGCTTCGACAGCAGTGAATCAAACAAAAAATTTATATATATAGCGGAAAAATTGCTTTTTGACCCAACCAGTTGAATTTTATTTACTCAATTTTTTTCTGCCTTCTGCGTCACTACATCTGCATTAAGTCGTCACTGTGTGTGAACGATGACGACGACAAAAAAATCCAGCCGTTGAAACTGGTGGAAAATTGATAGTGGCCTATTGTCAATTGGCAATATTTGTTTGAATTGTGTGCCACTGTGAACTATATGCAGGTTATAACATTCATTTTATTTTCCAATCGGTTGCCATTATGCTCTGGCGATTGCATTGATCCGTGCGAGCGAGAAATGTCTCGATTCACTTTTAACCTGACCACTTTCTAGGTCATCGATGGATTACGACGCACACACACACACACCGCCCATTATTGACACAGCGCGACTTTAGTGCATGATTTCGATGGGCAGTTTAACTAATTTACCATATTTAATGACAAAGCACTCACCTAAATTGCATACACAATGGGGAAATACGGCCCAACCACCAAGCCGCACATCGATAAGAAAAAAGAATGTATATGTAAAATACAAACGAGTGCTAGGCCCGAGCAAAAAAAATCATTTCATACAGAAGCAAAGAAGTGCGGAGTAGAGAGGGAGTGCAAAAAAAAATCGTTCAACTTTGTTGGCAACATTTGATGTTCCAAACAATTGGCTCTTTCCTTTTTGGCCGTCGCGCGACCGCACACCGCACTCGCTCATGTCATACGAATTCGATTTTCTCTCGTGATTGTTTTTTTTTCTCCTGTTCGCTCTGTCGTCCGTCCGTTCGTTCGTTCATTCGTTTGATCGCAACAATGCTTTGTCCAAAGTGCGAATGTATGTTATATAATTAACATATTATAATGTTATGCTGATTCACCGAATAATTTGTACATTTTCAACTAAATGCTATTTTCCGTAACATATTTATTTTAGTTTGTCCTGTCCGACCGGTCGTAAGGAATTTTTATTGTTACTTCTTGCCTGTGTGTGAGAGCGCGCGGCGCGGCGCGGTCTGCCGTGTATGTGTGTACTTTGTGTGATTGTATGCAATGTGAATGTAATATGCTTGTTGCCATTCCCATTTTCCATTTGTTCAATTTCTCAATTCGTTTACTTGGCGTTCTGTTTTTATTTTTTTTTCTATAATTTTGCTATGCTTTGCTTGCCCCCTTTGCCTCCGATTTTGTTCGCAAACTAGAAATAACAAATTATTACTTGGATCAAACCAAGTACGCGAAGAAATGTGAATGAATTTTTTTTTATTCGTGGACTTGCTTTTTCGCTGGAGTTGGTAGAGACAGAGTTGGGCTGTAAATAACAGTAACACGTGTAAAATCCAAATGAACGAATTGCGAGCAAACAAGAAAACATGCCGAACAAAAGGTTGAAAATGGTGGAGCAGTCGAGAGAAGGAGAGAGATAGAGAGAGTGTGATATACCGTGGCCACGGTAATATCGGATCCACACTACACCGTACCGCACCACACCGTGCACACATTACACGGTGTATGTGTACGAACGAGATAGCCGAATGGAAAGAGAGAGAGAGAGAGGCAGCGCGTGCGATTGAGTCTCTGTGCGAGTGTTTGTGTGGGATTGCGCGCGACGATGTTCAAATCGGCAAATTTTCAGCCGCCATTTTGGCATGACTGATGGCAATTTATTAAATGGTTTTTATGTTTAAGTGCATGAAATAATTTTATGTATTGCTTTGCTTTACTCTACTCGTTTGCCTTTGGTGGTTTGCTTTTAGGTTTGCACGCGCTGCTGGCTTCCCAAAATTAAAATGGATGGATGTTTGTTGGATGTTACGAGAAATCGTAGTCAACAATCATCGTTTAAAATGGATTAAATTGAATGAAAATAAAGCCAAACACGACAAGACGGATTGGGACTGAAACACTAACAAACTAACACGAACACATACGTATATATTGCTTGTTAACGTGCCGATTACTTTCTTTTTTTTATTCATTTTTTCTCTCTCTCTCGCGTTGTTGTTGCTATTGTTGGTGGCTTGAGAAAGCCAAACTTATATGTTTTCCATTTTGGAAAAGTTTTGCTTTGCATGTTCTTGCCATGTTCTTCTTCGACAAGATTTATTGAATGAAACTTCAATCGACTTTTTGGCTTACACTCGCAATTGAAACTACACAAATACACACACACACACTTACGGATGTCACACAATTCGCGCTGCTATTGTTGCTGTCTTTTTCTTTCATTCTCTGCTGTAAGCATTGTAGAAGAAGCAAAGTGTATAGTCGATTTCAGTAAAATGATGGCAATGAAAATCGGAGAGCTCTTGTCGAAAACTTCAAAAAATGTCTTCCAAAAAAAAAATCAACAACCGAAAATGAAACGGTATCAAGTGAACGGCAACATTGTGTATAAAATCACTGTTACCACCAAACGACCAAGTGGAATGTCGTGCAATCGGTATTCACTTATCGTGTTGAAATCAATGCACTACACGATTTCGAACGCCTCAACGCACGCACACCCATAATCCACGCGTAATCCCGTCAACTTTGCGCTACGAGCTAAAGTGAAAACTTTACCACTTTATTTGGCACAGCACAACGTATACTAAAATTCTACGAATTCCACACAAACACTGACGAATTTTTATGCCATAGAAATAATCATTGTCGATTCGCCGGGTAATATATAGTTCGAGTTACACTTTTCGGTATCTTCGTTTTTAGGTTTTTGGAAGAGAAAAAAAATAAGAAATTCATTGGAAAAAAGAGCAGAATTTTTATGCGGCGACTACATAATGTGATGAAATATAAACACTTAAAAGAGAGACAGATGAAAAAAAAAATGCTGACTGCTTATTTTCAATTCGAATTCGATGCATGAACAGGACCCAATAATTATATGTTATGGATGCCAACGCAATACAATGACACGATAGTGTAAACGATCGCCACAATACACTCGCATTGATATGCGGCGCGATCAATGTGTAAGCATTCGAGCAAGCGAGACAAATGGTGCAACTAATGAAATAGATGCAAATCAACGACGTACCGCTTAAACGTTGTGATACAAATGAGATACACTCTGTTCGTAGCCGCATTAGTATCGCTTGAAAATTAGCTACGAATGTTCGTACGAACAGAACTGCGACAACTGAAGTTCTTTTTTTCATGTTGTAATTCCAATTTGGGTATACACAAAGTCACCAGAATTAGATTGATTTGGTTTGATTTGAATTGTCCGGGTGGAAAAAAAACCGCCAAAAAATGAATTCGACAGTGACAAGTAACAAGAAAAATGTGGCCCAGTGCGTTGTTGCCGACAAAGAGCACAAAAACGTGAAAATGATGAAAGAACAAAAGTACGGGTGCAAAACACACGGTGACGCAAAACTGATGGAAGACCATGCAACGGGTGACATTATTTGTACAGCGTGTGCCTTCGTGGTCGAGGAGCGTATGATTACGGACGAAGCGGAATGGCGATGTTTCGATGGCGATACACAAGTTGAAAAATGGTCCAAATCTCGAACGGGTGATGCTGGAAATCCGTTTCTCAGCGCCGATTTCAATCTCGGCACCACCATCAAAATGCTTGCTCCAAAACAAATGGCATCAACAAACAATTACAGTTCGAATATCGTGAAACAATATCAACGCCGTAGCATTGACAATGCACTACAGCATGCATTCAAGGAAATTGCCACAATGGGCGATCGGCTGAATTTACCGTCGTCGGTGCTATCGAAAGCGAATGCATTGTACAGCCGTCTATATCGCCGCATCAATTTGAAGGGAAACAAATTGCTGGTTGATTCGAAAGCGGCCGCCTGTACTGCTCATAAAATATTTATTTTGTGTTATTTTTGTTGATTTATTTGTTCCGAGACGAATTTATTTATATCTGTTTTTCGACTTTTGTAAATAGGTATGTACATCGCTTGCAAAGAGGAAAATTGCAGCCGATCGGTGCAAGAAATCGGTAAACAAAATGTTTTTGTTTAAACAAAAGTGAAAACTTAAGAATAAAACTTCACACCTCCTAATATTTCAATTAATATTATTAAAATATTATAACAGCTGCCATTTATGGAACGACAAAAAGTGCTTTGTCAGCAGCCATAAGACGAGCCCTCAATTCTCTGGAAGTAAAAATTCCCGATTCACATGGTATCGAAATGATCGATCGCTATTGCGCCCATTTGAATATCACGAAGGTGGAACGCATCAAAGCCTGGCGCATTGCCGATCAAATCGAACGACTCGAATGGAAAACCAAAATGCTGCCCGAAAACATCGCGGTCACCGCCATCCTCTTGGCCAAAATCAGTTCACATGGTAAGTGGTTTTTTTTTGTGTTTCAAAATATTAGTCTTTTCATTCAGTTGGAAACTTGCTGTTGTTTACTCGTTTTAATTTTGTAAATCATACAATCCAACTGTAAACTGAATGGTTCGGAATAACAAATCGAATATTTCATGCTAAAACCAAATGTGTTTGATTTCTTTCTCTTTTCAGGAACAATCACCGGCAAAGAAACCCAAGAATTGCGAACAAGCTTCAGCAAGGAAATCAGCAATGTGACCGGCATCGTTGCCAAACAGATCATCAAATTCTACAATATGGTCAAAGATCATCTCAACGTCAATGTGTTCTACGACAAACCGTAGACTGAGACTCTGCCAAAAAAAGAAAAATGATTGACGAAACGGCAAGACCGAATAGCTGCTTCACAGCACCATCAAAAACACAAAACATTATTCGAATCAAACTATTTGAGTTTGTATGAAATCAATGAAAAGAGAAAAACAAAATATTGTTTACCAATTTATATATTATCTGTTACTGTAAGGTAGCGAACCTTATGAATTTATTGTATTTTTGTTAAGTCAAAAAGAGTACAAAGCTTCTTGAAGATTTGAATTGAATTATTTTTCATTACTCCAATTATATTATTATTTGTTGTTTACGTCACTTTTGTGGAAAAAGTGACGCTGTGTGAACTACATTTAAGTGAATAAATCTTTTGTCACACATTCATTTTTTTCTGTGTAAATTGACGTAGTTTCAATCAAAAAAAAAAAAATGATTGCAAAAGCGGAATATTGCCATGAAAATGTGGTAAGTAGGCAAAAATCTTTGTGCGATAGTCGTGTTCAATGAAAAGTCTTTTTCTATGAAAATGTCCTGCAGCAATTTAGCGCATCATTTTATCTAAGCACAAACGAATGGAATTGTATGATGTGCCCATTTGCGAAAAGGGCAATTGTGAAAATTAATTTTTCGGCTGTTGTTGTTTTTGAGTGGCAAAATCATTTTTGCGGTGAATTGAAATGGAAACATTGTGGTGAGTGTGTGTGTGTGTGTGTGTGTATCATAACAGCCAACAGCGTAAATATATGCACAAATACAGGCATGCACGTGTTCAAGTCATTTGCAAAGGCAATGAGAGAATGATGTACTATGTGTGCATGGGGCATTAGATCAAAGGTTTTTAGTTTGAAAATTGTATAAACTAATTTGGTGTTAAAACAAGCGAAAAACAAAGCGTCGCTCGCATCATAAGAAACTAACCGTAAAATCAACATCACCAACCGCAAAAGCATAAAGTTTAAACAGTACATAGACAAACATGGGTGCGCATCACTCCGTTGACGAATTGTGTGTATCTCGAGACAGGATGAGAAAAAATAGCGGCAAAAGCAGCATTAAATCTTTGAATGTGGTGATATTTGGTGTGAAGCGCGAACAAATTTAGTCACACTGTTCCATTGTCAAAGCGTGCAATGGGTGAAAGAGAGAAAGACACACAATGGAGTGAGAGATGAGTGTAATAGCGTTATACAAAGTGCTCGCTGTTGTTGTTACACACTCAAGCCCAAATCAGCTGCAGTCAGTGTTCGCGCTAAATGAGCAACGATGAAAAGATTCGTCCAGACATGCACACACACATACACACTCACCAAAGCAAAAGAAATCTCAGAGTTGAATTACAGAAAAGCAGCAAACAAAAACAACGACAACAACATCAACAAAAACGAGTGGATGATGACGATCGAATGAACGATAGAAGATAAACAAAATAAAATGTGAAAGTGAACACACAAAGCGCGCAGCGCGTTGATTCAATGTAAAAAGGCGAAGAGAAAGAGATAGAGAGAGAGAGATAGAGAATTTTGTGTGTTTGTTTCGTTGGTAGTGTGTGTGTGCGCCCCGTTTGAAAATTCGTATGGTGTCCTGAGGCGTTTTTAGAGGGTGTAATTTGTAGCGCCAACTTTCACATTTTATTATCATTATAAACGCCTACGGTATTTTTGTTTTTGCATGACTGGAAAGAGCGGGTGCTATGCACACTTATACACATACAAACATCACACAGATGCTGCTGCTGCTGCTGCTACTGCTGATGCTGTGGCGACGACGATGACGATGACAACGGCGATTGCTCTGTATACGATTGAACTAAGCCGTTTGCCTGTTAGCTGCTTCTCATTTGCTCATTTGATGCCCGGCTGAAAATTGCGACGCCACATCATATTACGTACGACAATCTCACAAACCCATTACTTTATCCGAACTTTTCATCATCATCACCATCATCATCAACAGCATCATCTAACAATCACAAAAATAATTCGGTTTGCCTCTCAGATTCCCTCTCTTTTTCTCCATCTCCCGTCGGATTCGTCGTTGCTGCTCTCATTATTATCATTTGCTGTGATGCTATATGGCAAAATGTGCGCTCATCGCATTTGACTGATGGTGTCGTTATTAAGGCAATTTTCATATCGTAACTACTGATGAAAACGACGTACGCTTTGAACCATTTCGAAAAATATTAAATTTACATAAACGCACAGCGAACGTGCGAACGCGCGAACGCACACACACACACACACACACACAAAAGGCGATATAATGAACAAAGATGATAATAATGTCTTTTTCGCCTGTGTGCGACAACGGCTGACAACAACATTTCTTCTTTTCTCTTTCGATACACTTTTGCCGAGAAGAAACACCCATCTAACAATAAATCTGATGTTGCCCACGATTTTAATTCCTTTTTTATTCATACACATTTCGTAGCGAACTTCTTTATGAAATTACTTACAGTCGACGGATTCGGAAGAGGCAACGAATTGTTAATACTGTGTGACCTATTTGTTTCGTATTAAAAATCATAAACAAATCCAGCTCAATCACAGCTCATGCCTTTGATGACAAACGAATAGGAATTTAATTAATAAACAGCCCACAGCCATTTTTGCAGCTATTTTTACGTCTTTTTGATATCATTACCAATCGCTTTTGGATTTTCGATTATGACACGATTCCCGATTATTTTACATAATGACAAAGGATTTATAAATAATTCGAAATATTTGTTGAACAAACTTTGGCTGAATTCACGGGAATTTCCGAAAATCTTATAAAAACGGAGGATGCAGTTTCTAATCAAAGCCGAAATATATTTATATCAAAGGAGAGAAGTTATTTTTTGGCATAGCCAAAGAGGCTTTATGGGCCCTTTGATAAGGACCTTCTTCTATAGAAGAAGTTAACTGTCCTTTTAGGTAAGAATTATATTAATTTTTATGTCCATAAACAAAGAGTTGAAAATAAGTGAGTGTAAATTTCAAGTAATTGTAGAAAAATCGACTTTTCCTAGCCGACACAAGTCATTTTGTTTTATATTTTGAATTCAAATTTTTGAATTTTGCAAACACAATTCCTTGAACTATTTGCTATTCGATTTCAAAAATACTGTTTTAGATTTGAATCGAAAATGCCCAACTTTTTTCAATGAACCATTTGAATTAGTATTGGAAAATTACCTTGTGCTTGTGAATTACTATGTGTTCCCCACGATGACTTGTAGGATGAATCTGAAAAACAAAATGATCAAAATGAATTTTTAGTCGATTTTCATTAGCATGGACAAGTCTGGTTCAAATGTTAAAGTTGAATAAAATTGCAATTTCAACGGGAACATCAGAACCGAATAATAAAAAAAAACGGAATAAAGAACCAAAACCAGCAAATTATGAGAACCAAAGAAACTAAAAATGAAAGCTTGAACTCAAAGAACGAAAAATAAAAGAAAAGAAAATTCAAGCACAATTACATGGTTCGGCAGGATCTCTGATATCTGTCGAATGTCTAACATGATTTGATGTCAAAGCCGACAAATTCTCAGTACTCGTACTGGCGGCTGTGGTTGTCGATATTGTTGTACTAGGTGATTGATGTAGAAAAGTCGTTGGACTTGAAGTCGATGAAGATTGCGTTGGAGTTGTTAAACCCCAGCCCAATTTGAAGGAAAATGGAGCAGGCTCTGTAGAGAAGTCGAATGCGAAAAGAAAAAGAAGAAAATAAGAAGACGAAAAAAAATGAAATGAAATGAAAATAAGCATAAAATGAATGTCATATAGACACACAAGCATACACACAAATTTATGGCCACGAACGAATATTTCGTTGCTTTTTATATTTTGGAAACAATAAATTTTCCATCAAAATATGCGCATTGAAATGATACAAAAATGGAAAAATTTGGCTTTTCAAATTCAAACAAAAATAAATTCGCATCTTTCGAATGCTTGGAAGAAAAACAATGATTGATGGTGGGTATAAATTTTTTTTTCATCATTATTACCGGCAAATAACATTGAAAAATTGCTAAACGATCCGGTGGAACGACTTAAATAATCAGCAGATCCTTTAATATCTAACATTGTTGATTCGTTTCGAAACACTTTTAGTTTTTAATTCACTAAAATCCTCTTTTTTCCAATTCGCGAGATGAAAAAAAAAATCCGTTCAACACACGTACAAAAAGTTCAAACTATCGTTTTAAACAAATAGCATTCGGAAGATCAGTTTGGTCAGCAGAGAACAAAAAAAAAATGGTGTGAGCTCAGCGCGAAAAAAAAGGAGTGTAGGAACCGCGAAATCAAACACCTTTTCCGTTGAAAATCAATAACAATATTTCGAAGACAAATGTATTTCTTTTATCACGATGCAATAAAACAGTCAAAAAATGCCCGGTGTTATTTCGTTCGCTTTTTTTTCTGCCTCACGTTGGCGAAAATTACTCTTCAGTGTGTCTCTTCCTTTTTCGATTAGAAGGGCCGTTGCATGAGTTCCGTTGCATACACGAAAAAACAACAACAAATAACAAAAAGTACAAAAGCACACTTTTTAGGCATTGTTTGCCCAACAAAATATTGGTCACAGTTGAAAGTCTCTATTTCTCACGAACAAAGAAAAAAAATTTTTTGGTCGCGATGAAAGGAGTGAATAAAAAAAAAGTAGTGACACAAACAAATAATTTTATCAATTCATATTGGAGAGTCTGTTGTTCTATTTTTCTATTTTTCTCTTCTTGTCTTGCTCTGTCCGTTTGTTACTATTCTTCTTCTTATTATTTTTATTACTATTTCGGTTTGAGAAAAATGTTTGGACGATAGACCGCGCGCGCACAACGACCAAATGCACCGATGACGGCGAAGACGATGACAACGTTTGGTGAAAAATCGGCCGAGGTTGCAGCAACGAGCAACCAAATAGGAAAAGGAACAGGAAAGAATGAAGATCGGAACCGGTTACTGTTACCGGACACCTCTGCTTCCGTTCAATTTTAACTCTATCTTCCTTTCGTTTTCTAGTCGATTGTCGACAAACACACACAGTCAGTGTGAAAGAGAACGAGAACGGCGCGGAATTCAACGAGACACTGTATGTATGGCGATGTGGGTGTGTGTGTCGCTCTCTCTCTCTCTCTCTCTCTCTCTCTCTCTCGTTTTTCGCTGTTTTGTGCACGAGTTATATATGGCACAGGTCGATTCGACCACGATACGAATCACGCACAAATACACTGATTAGGATGCACGGCGTTTATTCTTTTGTTTATTGTCAGCTTTCCACCTTTGCCACTTCGATTCACTCTTATACGATCGCGTTTTAACGACACTTTAGAGATTTTCCCGAAATTCAGATCAGCTCACTCACAAATTGAACGCGCGAAAATGTTCAAAAATGTGCCGTCGAAATATTTATTACTTGAATGATCACTCGATTGTTTGGTGGAAAAAATCCACTTGAACACTATCAATTAACTTTTGAACTCGGTGCATTAATGATGTACCGTAAAAAGGAATTTTTGCTTGCGAAAAATTCGTCAGTTTTATGATCGCTTGAAGATATTGTAATAGCTATCGTGAAAACGAATACCGATTTTCACTCACACGACCTGACTGCCTAACGTCTGCGTTCGAATCAAAACAACAAATGGCAAAAATTGTTTTTGAACCTATTTTTATCAATAGCAACAGTAGCACAACACCAGTAGCCAGCCAACACTGATACACGCATACACAAACACACCGACAAAGATACATGTACAAATAGAAACACAGCGTTGCAATCGTACATGAGGGGATGAATTGAAGAGAACGGCGTAGTCGTAGCCAAACAATGCCAACAATCATCAAAACAGACGTCAAACAAATATTCAGCGATATATGAGAGAGGGAAACAGGGCTAGGATATTGCTACTACCCAAGCAATAAGCCCGGTGAATTGTGTATTGCACGTGGTTGAGGAAATATGAGAGTAAGAAATCGACATGTACCATTTGAATGTGCGGCACAGCAATTGAATTACTGCCTGGGAAACGTAGCATAGCATACGGGACGAGTGAGTGAGCGAGCGAGTGAGTGAATGAATGACTAGAGCGATATGTGATCTCGCTTGAGCCCAAAAATTCACGTTTCTGTGAGTGTGGTATCGAAAGCGAATGAACGTTTTTGTGCGATTAACACAATCAGAAAAACCCACCCTTAGTCGGATTCATGTGAACGCACACATACTCACTGGACACCCATACAATGAACGCTGTGGACCTAATGCTTGTCATTTTATCGAGTACAGTAGTTATTATTTAGCTTTTTGGCTTATAGATATTATGCGTTGCGTGCATGTGAAATTAGTGGTAGATGTTGTTGTTGATGTGTGTGTGTTTTTTTTTCTCCCGTCGACTGTGCGCACAGTGGTACGAAATTTGAAATGGAAAAACCTTCGAATATATGCACATATACACGGATCGGATCGCTGTACGAATGATGATTTGTTCATGGTATGCTCCACTCCAGCTGACGACAACGACGAGAGACTTGAAGCGTTGGCCGTCGTGCGCGTATATGTGTGATAATGATGAGAAGGAAGGCGTTTAGCAAGGATAACGTACTTAATGTGCTCGGCTGTGTGTGTGTGTGTGTATTTGTATGTATGAGTATGAGTACGTCGCGTGTGTATGTGTGTATGAGAGAACGAGTGTGCTATTGAATGAATCCTTACATAAAACCACCAATCAGGATCCGGTAGGAGTGTCATATTCATATTTCACTGCGTATAAATTGCATTATATCAGACAACTGCGATGTGTTTACACCACTTGGCTACTGTTGTTACACACGCTTTCTCTCTCTCTCTCTCTCTCTCTCTATGCTCAACCGATTTTCCCATTCGATTTATGGGGTCTCCCCCAAACCAACCATAAAAACAGCAACAACATCGATGAGGAGATGAACAAAATCCATCGACGCGAAATGCAAACATTTTCAGTAGCGGCAACAGCATCCATTTGAATGTTTGATATGTGCACGGTGCGCGCTTCAGATTTCGATCGGATAACGTTGTTGTAATATTTGCCGTACGATAAACATAATCAAAAATGATATACACGTATAGAAAATGGTCTCGTTTTACTTTAGCACATTCTCTCATTTTATTTTATTTTTTTGTCCTGAATCGTATTGATAACACATATATCATACACACACAAACAGATATCATGGCTATAGCATATATGCTATGCCTGCTTTTGTCATGGAAAATACTGGCAAATGAGAGACTCTCGTTCAGCCAGAAATGTCGACTCGAACAAAATATTTTATAAAATTAATTACTTCGAAATCGACGTCTCGGCAAAATGAATGAAACTAACGTGCGAATGAACGAGTGCAGGAGTGGTGGATGCGCGACGACAACGAGCTGTTGCCCGTTTACACCACACTGAATCCAATTAGCATTTTATGTTTTTTCATTCTGTTCACTCTTCTTTCTTTATCCACCTTAAAAATAGAAGCATTGAATCTTTTATCAACAACAAAAAAAAAACACAGAAGCATATCAAATTTTATGTCGTGTAACATAACTTTCTGTTTTCATTTAAATCAACAAATGAAAATAAATTCTAATTAAATTTCTGGTTGAAACGAACATTTCATTCGCCCCAAAAGCCAAACTCTCTCGGCAACAAACTGCACGGTAATTTTAAAAGAATCATTTTTTCGGTTGGCTCTGCTTTCAAACATTTTTGTTCACCGAATTTTAATTCTTTCAAGATTTGTTTCGCCAAACACCTCCAACGCAATGGGATGAGCCAGCGCCTTTTTGGCCGTCTACATCGGAAGATACGCTTATTCTTTTTTCTCTTTTTCTTTCCACCGTACAGAAGAATGTTTCTCTACATTCTTCTCCACTGTGCAAAGTAATAGCGAGAGAAAAAAGTCGAAACGAAAGAAGAAAAAAAATCAGATTTCAAGTCTTTTCATAATAATTATGCAAAAACCCTTCGGCCAAATGGAAAAGCGCGCAAAATGAATTGAAAAGTTTTTGTCGGTGACACGGGTTTCTGTTTCTTGCCCAGTCAAAAACTTTCAGTCTCAAAACGACACGAAACGAGAAAGAAAGAGAGAGTTGGCAGTGAAAAAAAATTGAACAACGCAAAAGATATAAATGGCATTGACAGTGGCACATGGAAAAGAATTGCAAGAAAAAAAAAACACACACACACACACTCGCATACATAAATTATAATTTACGGAGTTTTCCTTTGTTTTGCCCGTTTGGCTTTGGCCAAATGTCACAATCACAATCACAATCACAATCACACACACACACACCATACACTTTTGAATCTTGTGTCGTGTACGCGCGCGGCGCGCCGTGCAATAAGTATATGTCTCCTATGCTAGTGGAGCAGGCCCTAGAAAATTGGGAATGCGATGGAAAAGGATACTCTCTCTCTCTCTCTCTCTCTCTCTCTCTCTCTCTCTCGTTCTCCGAGCAGCAAATCTTGTGCCTTACATTTTCGCAATTTGTAAATGAATAACGAGAAAAGGAAATGAATAAAAATGATGAATATAAATGATTATAAATTTTTTTTTTTCACTTTCAGTCTCGGTGGCTTCGTTTCAGACGATGAGAGAGTGAGTGAATGAGTGCAAGAGAGATGTAGACACATATAAGGCGATAGAGAATAAGAGCAAA